GGGAAGGTCTGGAAAGGGAAGGTTTGGGAAGGAAATGGGGAGAGGGAAGCTCAGCTTGTGCATCCCTCAGGTCTCTGACTGGTGCTCGCTGCCCCTGTGGGAGTGTTTAAGGCACTGTGAACTAGAAAATCAATTAGAGAGTGTGTTGAAGCTATTGCAGCAATTCCACCTCTTCCAGGGGAGACACAGAGCCTGCCAGGAGGATGAATTAGTAGGGAGCTGGCACACAAGGTGCCTTGTTTCAAATCACAAGAGGGGCAGAGTGGATGCTCCAGGTCAGTTCCCAGTCTAACGTCCCTACCTGCCAAATCTCTCCTTTGTTACTTGCAGGGAGGAGGTTCATCCACATCACACTCTGGGAACAGCTACGGGAAGATACTTCTGGAACTTGAGGCAGATGTGTGCCAGGTAAGACCATGAGAGGCTGCAGTTTGCAGCTCCCAGTCTGCTCCCAGTTTTTCTCCCTTCGGGAGGATGTTCCCCAGGTCAGTGACTCCCAGGAATGGGTCATGGGAAGGGTTGTGAGCCCAGCTGGTTCAGCTCCACACTCAGCCTTTTGGGGAAGGAGGGGCAGCCAGGTGGGCTGCAGGGAGAAACATCACCCACGGGAGAAACAACAGTCTAAGGAAGGGATTCCAGAAATTAAGGCTGTTGCAGGAGAAGGAGTGGGAGAGAATCATTAAGCCTTTGGCAGGAGAGCTGCTCTAAGTGTCCTGGAATATAAGTAAAAAGGAACTCAGCCTCCAGCACCACAAGGAAGACTCTGGAGCAGGGATTGCCTCTCTTTGAGGGATCTGAGCGAACAACTTACTGCTGGAAGCAAACCTTGATGTGGAGAGAGCGTTTCTTTCCAAGCCAGGGGTGATGCACAGTCCACCCAGGAGGGGAAAATAAGTCAGATCCCTGGGGTGACTGCTCAGGCTGAGACAGGACTGCTGTAATGTCTGTGAAATGTCCAGGAGAAATGCTGGAGAGGGGAGGAATTCCAGCTATAGCCACTGAAAAATGTTCAGGGAAAGTTCAAAGACCTTTGAAACTGTGCCAGACAGCAAGGGGATGTGTGGCTGCAGCAGTCACAGCTCACCAGGAGGTGGGATAGTTCCCCTCTGCTCCACACTGTGATGGCCAAGGCTGGCTACTGTGCCCAGACTGGTCTCCTGGTCCAAGAGGGAGGTTCACAAACCGGAGCAATCCCAGAGGAAGGTGTTCAGATGGTTGGGGATTAAGGCACATGACAGAAAAGGAGGGAGAGGGATGGGTTTGTTTATCTACTTACTGCCACCAGCTACACCAGTTGGAACAGGGAAACTCCAACTAAAGCCATGGACAGCACTCCTCCCTGTGAGAGCAGGGCAGCCCTGGGGAGGCTGGAACATGGTGGGCTCACATCCATCAGTGATGGCCCTGAGCAACCTGACCTGGCTTTGGACCCAGCCCTGCCCTCCAAAGGAGCTGGATGATGAATTCCAAAGCTGACACCTTTCTGTGGTTCCTCCTTGGTTAGGGAGTTAGTCTGCAATAAACTGTGGCTGCTCTCCTGAGGACTGGGGGACCTTGGGCTGGTGACTCCAGCTGAGGCCATGCTGCACCAACCCCCTGTCTGGGGAACCTGGCTGGCATGGAAGGTGTAAAATGGCAGGTGATGCAGAGAAGTTACAGATTAGATGAGACTAAATGTAGAGGTGCACCAAGTACCTTTAAACTGCATTTTCCCACTCTGATACCTTCCTCCAGCTGCTGCCTACAAGAGTGTCAAAATGTATTAGCAAGGGAAAGGCTGGGACAGCTGGGGGTGTCCATCCTGGAGAAGAGAAGGCTCCAGGGAGGCCTCAGAGCCCCTTCCAGTGCATAAAGGGGTTTCCAGAGAGCTGGAGAGGGACTTTGGGCAAGGGCCTGGAGTGACAGGACAAGGGGAATGGCATCCTACTGCCAAAGGGCAGGGTTAGATGGGATATTGGGAAGAAATTTTTCCCTGGGAGGGTGGTGAGGCACTGGCACAGGTTGCCCAGAGAAGCTGTGGCTGCCCCATCCCTGGAAGTGTTCCAGGCCAGGTTGGACAGGGCTTGGATGAGGGTCCCACTGCAGTGAAGCCGGTGTGGGCATTGCCATGCCCAGTGCAGGAAGGAAATGAAGCACTGACAGAGTCCAAGGGGTTGGGAGATCTGGAGCAATGGAGCCCTGACTGCAGTGGAATGGCAGAGCTGTGCCCTGCCAGCTGCCAGCAAACCAGGCACCTGGGACATGGTGACAGGCCAGGTATGTGGGAACTGGTACCCTTGGAGTGCTGTCCCTGTGCTCAGCATCCCCAGGGATGCCCTGGCAGTGACCACATATTCCATCACATGGAGCACTCAAGGTCTTAAAAGCAAACCTGAGACCTCAGGCCCTGGATGAGGCCCTAAATGAGCCACTGAATGAGGGGGAAGGCAATGGGCACCTCTTCAAGGCTGCTTTGCTGAGCTTCTGCTTTCATGCAGCATCAGCAGCACATTGTTATTCCAGGTTTCCACCCGGGATATTGTAATTCCAGGTTTCTTTCCTTTGGGAAGGCTATGCAGATTTGCACTGACCTGAGGAAGTCCCTCCGATACCATGCTGGAGAGAAGTCAAAACCTGGGGGCAAAGGAGGGATCTGCCTTCAAGAATGTGGACCAAGGCACCAAGAGACATGTTGCAGTCTGTCCTGTTGTCACCAAGGAGCTGTCACCAGGGCTTGGGTGATTTGTGTGGCAGGGGAATGATCCAGTCACCCATCAGATTTAGCAGGAGAGAAGGAAGGAAGCTTTTGGGAGACCCTGGACAAAAGCCTGTGCAGCCATCCAGCCCTTAGTGCTGCTGCTGCTTGTCATGGAATAACCTCAGGACATGTGGACAGAGTCAAGGACAGAAGGCAGGACTCCTGCTCTGGGCTGGATTGCCAAAGGCTGAGTGCTGGCTGCCCACAGGGTCACTGCTGCTCTGTGGGGTGCACAGGGTCTGGCCATGAGGGTGCTACAGCTGAGCACAGTGATGCTGGATCTCATGGGAAGGTGGAGCAGAGTCAAGCTACACGTCGAAAGAGGAGGAACTTCTCACCTGTCTCCATGGCCAACAACCCAGCACCAGCCCTTTCTCCCCAGAACCTCCCAGGATGGTGTTTTCTGAGCATATGGCACACACAGCCCGTGGAGAAGAGTGGGACGATGTCAGCTGGCAACAAGGCCCTGGTTGGGCAGCAGGGCTCAGCCCCTCATGTCTTCAGAGAGCTGGGGGCCCATGAGACACACGCCAGTGTGAGGGCTCTGGGACTCACCTGTACTCCAGGCTCATGCACTCGAAGAGCCGGGTGAGGGTCGGGTCGATGCTCCGGGGATCAGCCGGCTCGGGCTTGGTGTGGTGGTGCCGCCGCCGGGGCAGCGCGTCGCTGTGCGGGGACGACACCATGAAGTGGCCGCTGTGGATGACCTGGGAGGGGTTCTGTGCCCCAGCACCGGGTCCTGTGCCACCCACAGCCGCGTCCTCGAAGTCGGAGTCGGAATCAGAGACAGGGCACTGCCCAACCGGGGGCTCCGGGAAGGTTCCCAGGAGCCCCACCTGAGCTCCTGCCATCGCCTGGCACCTGCTGGGGAGCCCTATGGACCTGTCCCAGCGCTGTGATCCATGTCCCGGGTGTGCCAGAGCCTATGGGCACTGCGCTGGCATCAAGCACATGCCGTTGGGCTCCCCAGCACAGGACACCCTCACCACAGCTCCTCCTGGGCGCCTCCTCCACCCGGCCCACGCTGCCTGCTCCACGCGCCGGGGTTCAGCAGGTGCTTTGCCGGGGTTCAGCAGTTGGTTTGCTGGGGTGGATCGTCACCAGCCCTACTTATAGTGCTGGTGGCTGATCCCGCCCATGGCACACCGTCAGCAGGCCATGGCACTCTGCCACCGGCGCCTCAGCTCCGCGCCACCGTCCAGCTCCAGCAGTGTCCCTGATGACCCCACCTTTTCTGTCTCCCCTCCAGGTGGGGAGGAGCAGCTGCGGGTCCCCCGTGCCCCGAGGGTTGGCTGGCAGGCAGCTCTGTTTACCCGGGGTTAATCACTGATCCCAGGGGCCGGCTGGGAGAGGATCGGGCGGTATTTACCCAGCACCTCTTCCCTAATGGATCTCCCTGCACTTTTCAAAGGGAACAAATACAGATTAAGGGACACAAACAGGTAAAATTATAGCAACGGGCACCCAGCTCAGCACAAAGCACACAGAGGCACTGAGCCATGTGCTGAGCTGAGAAAGAGCCCAGGGAAACCTGCTCCGAGGGAGAACCCAGCAGGAGAGAGGATGCAAATGCCCAGTGTAAGAGGGGACAGCAATGAGCCCGGATGTGGTGGGATTTATACACCTCGTGGTCATGCAGTTCTTAAAATCACAGAATCAACAAATCCTAGAATGGTTTGGGTGGGAAGGAACCTTAAAACTCATCTTATTCCAATCCTCCTGCCTTGGGCAGGGACACCTTCCACTAGCCCAGGTTGCTCCAAGCCCTGTCCAACCTGGCCTTGGACACTTCCAGGGATGGGGCAGCCACAACTTCCACAGGCAACCTGTGCCAGGGCCTCACCACCCTCCCAGGGAACAATTTCTTCCTAATATCCAATCTAAATCTACCCTGGACTGCCTTCACCTCTGAGGTGTCCTGAGAGATGCAGACAGATGTGCCAGCCCCCTCCCCTGCTCTGTGCCAGCTGATCTTGGATAAATGCTGAGATCCCTTGCCAGGGTCTGGCATGTGCCGTGTCACAAGCATCTCCTCTCTGACCCAAGCCACAGAGGGACATAGTGGATATCATTTCAGTCTTAAGTCACTTATTTTCTCTCTAGTTTTTGACAACTTCTTCTCCAGCCCCACAACCTGGCAGGAACACACATGCCAGGATAAAGAGGTGGAATAAAGCTGACATAGATGGCCACAGGCATCAGAGTCCTAATACAGCCTGCAGATGCATTTGGACAACCTCTGTACCACCCAGGTGGCCCCTGCTGATGCTCCAGAGGGATGAGCAGCCACTCAGGGTATTTTCCAGGGTTGGAAGAAGAATATGCACAGAACTGGTTTGGATAAATTCCACAATGATCACTGTAAACCTCTCTTAGGAACCATTCCTGGATTTTCCAGCCAGATTTCCACGACTCCATAGCACTTTTCCCTCTCTGTGGTTCATTACAACCCCTTCAGCCTGTAAAGATGCTGGACAAAGAAATAATTTTAAAAGTACTGCCTGCAGACATTTTAAAGCAGTAACGGGCATGTGGGTGTCCTGGGAAACTAAAATTTAGGCAAGGCACAAGGAAACAAAGACGTCAGAGATACGCAGGGTTTCTGGGCACGTTCCCCTTGAGTTGTGCAAAAAGGACTTCTCAGGATTTTGACAAATACCATTTGCCATCTGTTCACTGGCCACAGGCAGACTTCAGTCCTCTGGGACAACATCTGTCTGAGGGAAGCAGAGAAATACATCAGCGAGGCTTTTAGGGACATCACAACTCCCTCATCCCCAGTCCAGCAGCTCTCGTGCTACAGAGGAGGGAAATCCCGTGGGCAAAAGGCATCCAGACTAAGGAAAGGGGTGATGGGTCCTCAGCCCAACATTGACAATGGCAGGGATCCTACACAGGAACAGGCAGTGCTGATGGATTTTTTAACAGGCTTTTTGGATCCTAAAATGAGTGATGGCAAGCAGCCCCCGAGGCGGGGGACACACAGGCACAGGGGGACACGGGGAACCCACGCCGGGCACGGGGCCCTCCTGTCCCCACTCCCGCACAGCCGCGCCCTGTCCCAGCGGAGGAAGGACATGAGCCCACAGCACTGTCTCGGCTGTGCCGGGGAAAGGGCGCTCTCGTTGCCTTGGGAACGAGCCAAGGTGGCCCAACGCAGTTTCTGAGCTCTCTGGCCGCCTAAAGTAACAAGTCAGGGCAGCCCAATCCAGCTTTTGGGCCCTGTGGCCGCCTAAAGTAACAAGTTGTGAAGCTTTCCTCATGAATATGTATAGCCCTGGCCAGTTCATCTACCATCTTCAGCCATGGCTGGCATTTATTTGGAGCTCTCCCCCTGCAGCTGGCACTGTGGTCCAGCTCTGGGATAAAGTGCTGCCTGCTTCCTAATGCTCTAGTGCTGTTAAGGAGCTTTATTCCTGAATTTCAGTGACAGCTACACCTCCCCTGTCCTCTATCCTGGAGCAGGGCCATGACTAGGGCCGGTGCAGGGCCCTTCCCTGCCCAGAGCTGGCTGTACACGAGCACACAACAGTCCCACGCTGTTCCCTGCACGCTGCATGTCAGTCTAAACAGTGCAGCTTTGACTGGGGGAGAGCTATAACCCCCCTTGAGGAAGACCCACAGGGACCACCCTGCATGCAAGTCACAGGGTGACACAAAATGGCCGTTTATTGAACACGGACGTCGGCTTATAAAGGCCGAGCAGAAACCCTTCTAGAAGAAAGGGTGGAGACTGGGAGGAGTATCCAAGGAGTGGCCAATCAGGGTAACAAGGGGCAAAACTTATCGAAACATGAACAAATGAGAAACTATCTCTAGGCAGTACTGCTGCAGCAGGGTTGGACGAACAAGGAAAGGGTTTACATAGAACCAATAGAAGAAAGGGTAACAGGGATACAGAGAAGGGAATCACACATTCTCATAATAAAACATATTATGTCAACAAGAGAACAATTGTATAACTAAGTAAAACACTGGAAACAAACAATCTCTGGGTTATGATGATCATATCTTGAGCATGACAGCATAGGTGCACTCTGAGATGATGTCTTCCTCTTCCTCCGATCTCTCCCCGTTAAGTTTCTTCCACCATTTGTAGGACTCCATTGGGGCACCTCCAACACAGCTTTTTCTTAATTTTCCTGAAATTCAACTGGCATAAGTTTTCATGTTTGGAACAGATTGCTGAGTCATCTCCCCCTTTATTTCCTGGCCCAGCTCATTAGGTATATTCCCTGTCAAAAACCGGAGGAAAAAATAGTAACGAACACAAATGTACTGTTTGGATTTTATCTGTGATTTTGTGGGGGTTCCTGTGTCCTGCCTGAGCCAACTCACACTGACAGTTCAGTGGCACAGCAAAGCCAGGCTTATTCCCTGCTCCACAATGCAAGAAGAAACCAAGAGCTGAGTGCGAGTTGCCTTGAAACAGAACAAGAGTCTGACATGGCAGAGGAGGAACTGGCTTAGCTGTAACTCCAGTCTTAAACTGAATAAAAGAACAATAAAGGACTCTCTTCTTTCCTGGAAGAGGGCATGTTTCAGTGATTAAAGGGGCTCCAGAAGGGCTGGACAAGGACTTTGGACAAGG